CAACGGGATCACAACCCTCAGTGCTGTGCCCGCACCTCGCTCAGCCAGTGAGCAGGAACCGGTCTGTATGTGGGATCCGAACCCTCGGCGGGAGCGCCACCGCGCTCACAAGCGCACTGTAGCAGTGCGCCACCGGGCCGGCCCGGCTGTCATTGCTTTAAAAGATGACCGGTAAGGGGATCTTAACCCTTGACTTGGTGTTATCAGCACCACACTCTCCCAAGTGAGCTACGAGCCGGCCCTTGTCATTGCTTTTTAATAGTTGTAAATTAGTTGATTTGTGGGAGAGAGTGACACCGGGTACTGTCTGTTCCACCATCTTGACCAGAAGTCAGCTGATTTATAACTTCTAAATATTTAGGGGCCAGCCCGGTGGCGCACTGCTACAGTGCGCTGCTTGGGAGCGCGGTGGCGCTCCCGCCGAGGGTTCGGATCCCACATACAGACCGGTTCCCGCTCACTGGCTGAGCGAGGTGCGGGCACAGCACTGAGGGTTGTGATCCCGTTGCCGGTCCTGGTCCGGTACGGGTGTGACACTGAGGGTTGCGATCCCTTGCCGGTCACAAAGAAAGACAAAAAGGAAAAAATAATAATAATAAATATTTAGACATTGATATGTGGGCTCCTCTTTGTACTCTTGTCCCCCACCCCCTGCCCACTGCCCTGCATGAATGCTGGGGTGGCTTGTCTCTCTCGCTCTCTGAATCGCAACCTTCCCTTACCTGGTACTCTACCCACTTCCTGATCCATTTGTCCTGCATTTAATAGTTGATAACGCACTACTTCCTGTTTCCCTGCTGTACAGGTTTGTTATCATCCTCTATCTCCCCAACTGGAACATGAGCTCCCTGTGGGCAAGGGCTGCTGTCCATGTGTTCACGACTCCAGGCCCAGCATCTGGTGGAGTGCTCCCTTCTATTCCCAGCCACGTGGCCTCCACATGCTTCCTTCTAGCCTCGGCATGCTCTCTGCTGCTTACCTTCTCCCGGGCTGCGGTGACCCGATGTCAGCACCAGCAGGACCCTTACTGTCCCTGGTGCGTCTGCAGCCATTCTGACACGATCCCTCACACGCGTGGCTCTGCCCTGCACACTGGACTGTTTACCAGAACTTACCATAGTGGATGACACGCAGGACGACATGTGGTCAGCACCCCTCACACTGAGCAAGCCCAGTGAGGTGTGTGAGCGCCCATTGGTGACAGTTCACAGGCCACAAGCCAATGGAGGCATGGTCCGTCCTTTAGGGGCCACTAGCATGTGGCCATTAAGGACTGCATCTGTAGTTCTGTGCCTAGAACCCCTGACCCCACCACAGTGAACCTCTCTAGACATGTGGCTTCTGTCCTTTTCAATCCCACAGTTTTCCCAGGTGAATTTGCAACCCCACCCCAGCCCACCCCAGGCCATCTCTGGGTGAGCTTTCTTGATTTGCCCAGGACCTGAAGTTGGTCTCTGCAGCTTTGCCCAGCCTAGGAGAACGTGTGCCTGCTGAGTGTCACACTGGGCTACACTGCTTTTCTCTCTAAGTAAAAGGAGTTGGAAGAGGGATGCTGGGCCGGCCCGGTGGCGCACTTGGTAGAGTGCAGCACTTGGGAGTGTGGTGGTGCTCCCGCCGAGGGTTCAGATCCCATATAGAGACCTGTCTGCTTACTGGTTGAGCGCGGTGTGGGCGCGACACCAAGGGTTGCGATCCTGTTACCGGTCACGAAAAAAGACAAAAAGAAAAAAAAGAAAAAAAAAAAAAAGAAGAGGGATGCTGAGGGTGCTCAGAGTGAATATCAATGGAGGGGCCCAGCCACAGAAGAGGAATTTGGGACACCACACCAGTGACTGTGAACGCTTCCCTGTCCAGGGGTTACAACGGACTGCAAAAAAGTTACATTAGTAGTTGGCAAAATGAGAAAAGAACAATATAGTGAGTTTCCCATGAGATTAAACATTTGCCATTTAAAGGAAATGATGGTGATGGTAGGTACTTTGTTTTGTTTTTGTTTATTTATTTTTGGTGGATGGCTGGTAGGGGGATCAGAACCAGGGTGACCTTGGTGTTAGAAAGCAGCACACTAACCAACTGAGCTAACCCACCAGCAAGAGGCAGTACCTGTGGTTGTTCAGAGCAAAGCTTACACGCCTGGGTCTGAACCCTGGCTGTTACTCTGGATATCTCACTGCACCTCTCTGTGCTATAGCAAAGGCTTTATTATTACCGATATGTAAGATAAAGGCTGGCCAGGAGCTGGGTCGCCCAGTGCCGAGCCGCGGTGGAAAATGGGAAAAGGAGCTCTGTATTCCAAATGCCAGGGCTGGTGCTGTGTGTCTTCAGCAAGGGCTTAACTTCCCTGTTCTTTAGTTGTCTTTTCCGTTTCACGGGGATTACAATCGTGCTTGCTTCCTAGGGTGGGTGAAGAGATTGCATGAGTTAATATATGTGTTGGCTGTTAGAATTGTTTATTCTAAAAATTCGCTCATAGGTGCATTCATAACCTGCACATTTTAATAGCATGGTTTCTCTTTTCTAGACACAGCGGGACCAAGCCTCGACCCTCTCTGGGTTTTGGCCTGGGACCTCCCGCAGTCAGAACCGGCCCGGACCAGCCTGGAGCCTCGTTGCGGAAGCCCCGCTTCTCCCTGGCCCCGCCCCCTCTCTGCCCTGAAGACATTTGTCCGCGCTCGGCCGCCATCCAGCGCTTGCTCCCCTTCCGCCTTCGCCCACGTGGTCCGGCTTCGCTCAGTCAGCGGCGCCGTGAGTGGGGCCGGTCGTGGGGTGCGCCCTTCTGGTCCCGATGAGGGTGGCCCGGGTCTTCCCGGTTCCCGAGGAAAGCCTAACCGGGCGGGGCTGGAGGAGGGACTGGGGAGGTCACAGGTCAGCCAGGGGGTCTTGGTTAGCCACGTCGGAGGTTAGCCGCGGGCCTTGGGGTCGGGAAGGGACATTGGGGGTCCCGGGGGAGGTCAGAGTTCAGGAGGGGTGGGGCTGGGGCACCTGCGGTCGCAGGGGACGTCTGGGGTCAGGAGAAACGGGTCAGGGGCGGCGGGGGTCTTGAGGGGTCGGAGGTCACCAGGGGCGGGGCCGGGGCGTCGGGGATCCGAGGGGAGGTCAGGAGAGGCGAGGCCGGGGCGTCAGGGTCCAGGGAGAGGCCAGGGGTCAGGAGAAGCGGGGCAGAGGCAGCGGGGGTCCCAGGAGGTCGAGGTTCAGAATTAGCTGGGCCAGATCGTCGGAGGTCTAGGGGAGATCAGGAGAGGCGGGGCAGGGGCGGCCGGGATCCTTAGGGGTCGAGAGTCAGCAGGGGCAGGACCGGGACGTCAGAGGTTCAGGGGGCGGTCAGGGGTCAGGAGAAGAAGGGCAGGGCCTTCGAGGGTCCCAAGAGGTCGGGGCCGGGCGCGCCCCGCCAGCCCACCCTGCATGGGCGCCCCCAGCTTGCGAGCGGCGGCCGGGGCGCTGTGGAGAGCCTGCGGACGGTGGACCCCGCGCCTAGGACCGCGCCCCCTCTGGTAATGACAGCGAGCCTTGGCGACCGCAGGCGCCGCTCAGCCCTAATCGTGCCCAGTTTCCCAGACGGGAGCCCCAGCCCCACGCTGCACTCTGGGCGAGGCCGCCAGCAGATGCGGGGAATTCGCGTCCGTACACGCGCCCACCTGCCTTCCCTGCTCACGCCGCCCCTGTCTCTTCAGCTCGTCCCCCATGGCTGGGAACGGGAGGGCCCCCTCGCCCGGGGGGGCCCAGCGCCTGCAGGACCAGAAGGCCCGGAGCGGCTTGCCGGGCGCAGCGCGCTTCTGGGAGGAGGCTGAGCCTCAGGCCAAGAGGCTCCGGAGCAGCGAGGCCGAGGAGCGGCAGGGCAAGCTGCCCAAGCGCAAGATCGTGCTGCTTATGGCCTACTCAGGGAAGGGTTACCATGGCATGCAGGTAAGGGGGCCTCCCAGGTGAGGGTAGGGACAGCTGTGCCCCGCCCTTGCTCAGCCCTTACTTCTCTCATGACTGTTGTGAGGTTGCCTCAGGACACAGCAGAAAAAATGGGACCCTCTTTCTTCACCCACTTTTCAAAGTTGTCCTGTGGGCCCCGTCAAGCAAGATTTAAGTTGGAACCCAAGCAGCTCTGGTTGAGTCCTGCTTCAGGCAAGATTCTGAGCAAGGGGCCTCTCAGGTCTTCACAGTGACAAGGTGGTTAAGGTCTAGTTTGACTGCTGAGCCAGCTTTGTGATCCTGGGCCAGTGATGGAACCTCTCTTCTTCGGTGTCCTCATCTTTAGAATGGGGATGCTCACAGTACCTACCTAATAGCGTGTGAAAATGGGCAGGGCTTGGTGTTATTCTTTGTCATACGTGTTAATGTGCAAAGCTCAGTGCTGAAATCAGACATGTGAAATCCGTGGGCAGGAGGCTCCCCTTGAGTTCCCCACCCAGCCCACCAATTAGACCCTTTTCTGAAGGGCAGAAGGCTGTAAGTTCCCGATGAGTCAAGTTGACTTTCTTTTTGTTCTTTCTTGTGGTCAACTCTGTGGCTCTCACTTTGGTTCTGCGTTATTTTAACTATAAGCATGAGGCACAGTAAGAAGTTTAGCACTGTGTGCTGAGTAGCCATCTGAGACAGAAGCTCAAGAAAGTGGTGCTTAGTCTCACCAGTCATTACAATAGCTTTTACTATGAACAATGTTAGTAATGAAATACTTTGTGTCCTCTTGTATTTTACTTTATTTTGTTTTGTTTTATTTTTATTTATTTATTTATTTAAAAGATGACTGGTAAGGGGATCTTAACCCTTGACTTGGTGATGTCAGCACCACACTCACCTAGTGAGCAAACCGGCCATCCCTATATGGGATCAGAACCCGTGGCCTTGGTGTTATCAGCACCACACTCTCCCGAGTGAGCCACAGGCCGCCCCGTTTTATTTTTTTTCCTTTTTGTCTTTTTTCGTGTCCGGCAACGGATTGCAACCCTCAGTGTCGCGCCCGTACCGGACCGGGACCGGCAACGGGATCGCAACCCTCGGTGCTGCGCCCGCCCCTCGCTCAGCCAGTGAGCGGGAACCGGTCTGTATGTGGGATCCGAACCCTCGGTGGGAGCGCCACCATGCTCCCAAGCGGCGCACTGTAGCAGTGCGCCACTGGGCCGGCCCTATTTTTTTTTTTTTGAAAACTGGCTGGACCTTGGTGTTATCAGCACCATACTCTAAACCAGCTGAACTATCCGGCCAGCCCTGTATCCTATTTTATTTTTTAAGAAAGTACAGGTTGCACCCATGGAACTGGTGTCATGACAACTAGTTGTGACAATAGGTTGGAAGATGTTGCTTTAGTCTAACTTAGCCTCAAGCGTTAGGCACAGACAGACCACATCTGCTGCTCTTTATGGGTGATTTAAATGCTTTTGTGAGACTAATTTTGATTATGTAAGGTTTTTGCCTCAGGTGCTATCTTGAGAACTTTGCCTGTGTCGTCTCATCATCTTCTGCTTGCCTAGGTTTCCCCATTAGGGAAAGGGGAGGTGGAAAGTGACAGTAGCTCACATGGCGGAGTGAAGGGTTGTCTTCTTTGCTTGTTAATGTTCATTTTCATCAAGTGAGGGGTGTTTATGATTTTTTATTTTATTTTATTTATTTATTTATTTTTGTCCTTTTTGAGACCGGCCGCACCACGCTCAGCCAGTGAGCGCACCGGCCATCCCTATATAGGATCCGAACGGGAGCGCTGCTGCGCTCCTGGCGCCACACTCTCCCAAGTGCGCCACGGGCTCGGCCGTATTTATTTATTTTTTTTAAAGATGACCGGTAAGGGGATCTTAACCCTTGACTTGGTGTTGTTAGCACCACGCTCTCCAAGTGAGCTAACTGGCCATCCCTATATGGGATCCGTACCCGCGGCCTTGGTGTTATCAGTACCGCACTCTCCTGAGTGAGCTACCGGCCGGCCCTGAGGCGTTTACGATTTTATGCTGAGTAAAGGGATTGGACTTAAATTGCAGTGGGAAACCATACGGCAGACTTGGGATGAAGAACCCATGGTGAGTCTTGGCAGTGCTGACAGGCCCTTGTGTCCCTGCATTGGAAAGGGTTTTTGTGAGAACAGTGGATGCAGCTCTCTCTATTTTGGGGATCAGCAGGATGTGGATCTCACAGATATTATGGGACCCTGCAGACCCTGGATTTTTATCAGGATTAGTGAAAGGTACAGCATTAGAGATGGTTCTGGAAGCAGTGGTATCTATCTTTGGCATGCATTCATCCTGAGAGGTTGTATAAGCTGATCATGAGAACTGAAGGGTTTAGGAAGAGCCAGGGATACCCAGCCCAGCCCTGGCTGGGAGTGTCACCTGGCAGAGGATGGTGCTGAGGGAGGGGCCGCCCCTGTGGAGCCTGGGTGCCACAGACTGAGGTGGTCCTGAGCAAGAGGCAGTGCTGGCCTGTCTGGGGGCTGGTTTCGGGTCTGACTGGGTGGGAGGTGATGCCACTTTTGCCATTTCACCTGGCCGCCCAGAGTGGGGACTCTGTAGAGACTAGGTCACCTCAGGTGGCTTTCCTGCTTCCCATGTCTCCCCGTGGCCACGGTGCCATGCTCTTGAATGTGGGCATGTGGAGCAGCCCAGGCCCTGGAGGGTCAACTGAATGAAAGACAATCTGTCCTCATCTTTTTTCCAGAGGAACGTTGGGTCCTCGCAGTTCAAGACAATCGAAGATGACTTGGTGTCTGCCCTTGTCCGGTCTGGCTGCATCCCTGAAAATCATGGTGAAGACATGAGGAAGATGTCCTTCCAGCGGTGCGCCCGCACAGACAAGGTAGGTAGCAACTGTCTCTGTCCCTCCCTCTGCAGCTACAACCAGCACCTGGCCCACTTTCACCTTAGTGTCTCTTTATTGGTCAGGCCTCTTTTGGGTACATATGACAGAGGCACAAATCAAGCTAACCTAATTGGAAAACATTTTGCCTGGTGTAGCTGAGGAGTCCAGGAGCATTGCCAGCTCAGGTGTGGCTGGATCTAGGCGCTCACTGCCGGCAGGATTTTGTGTCCTCTCTGGTCTTTGCTTTCTCCTATGTCAATTCTGTCCTCAGGCAGGCTCTCCCTGCAGGTGACACCATGGCCAGGACATCAGCTTTCTATCTGTCCACATCAGGCTCACCCACACAAATGTTACATTTTCTAGTAGCTGCATTCAAGGGGGAAAAGGAAATAGGTGAAATTTATTTTAATGGTCAACTTTATTTCACTCAGTATATGTAAGATATTCTCATCTCATCATGTAATCAATATAGAAATCTATTGATGGGGTATATTTTACGTTGTGAGTGTGCTAAGTCTTTGAAATCCAGTGTGTATTCCATCCTCGCAGCACATCTCACGCCTGGACCCGTTATGTGGACTTATAAGCATGTGTGGCTGGTGGCCCAGTGCTGTCCAGTCAGAATCACAAGACCGAGTCCTGCTGTTTCTGATTGGCTTTCATGTCTGTCCTGGACTCAGTCACTGGCGAGTGGGGCTGCACATGCTTATTATTCACACTACAGCATGTTCCTGTGCCTGAGACGGAGCCACAGGGATTCAGAGTGGGCAGGCAGGGTGGCTTCCGACGAGAGAACAGAGGTGTGTCACCAGAGAGGGACCTGGTGCTGGGCAGGTAGGGAGAGTAGGGCCTGAGAAAACACAAAGCTCTTCTACAATATGTACAAAACATGAAGTAAATGTGATTCCTTTCATCATTCCTGTTCTGAAACCCTGGCCTCATAATGCATCCCAGGTCACCTGAGGGTATCGGGGGCCTGTCATAGACATAATGTTTTGCAGGTCAGGGCCCCCCTGGAAATCTGAATAAAGCTATGGATCTTGTTCCCAGAAACGTCTAGTTTCAAAGGTCCACAGATCCCCTGGGATCCACAGGCCCAGGTCAGAACCCAGAACTGGAGCCATTGTATAGATAGGTAAGAGAAAAAGTGGGAACCCAGAGCTCACTTCTAGCAGGGGATGACAATAATATATTTGATGGCCAAAGGTGAAGAATCGGTTCCGTGGTTCTTTATGTGTTTCATTTTCTTTTTCATTTTTTCATTTACAGCTAGAGAGGTTGCTGTAGCCAGAGGGTTATTTTCTTTTTTTTTTTCTTTTTAAAAGATGACTGGTAAGGGGATCTTAACCCTTGACTTGGTGTTGTCAGCACCACGCTCACCCAGTGAGCAAACCGGCCATCCCTATATCGGATCCGAACCCGTGGCCTTGGTGTTATCAGCACCGCACTCTCCCGAGTGAGCCACAGACCGGCCCCAGAGGGTTATTTTCAAGGCAGAAGAAAAGTAAACATTTGCCTGAGCTGATGAACAGAGCATTTCAGAATATGGTCCTTGCATTTATTTTATTTTTATTTTCACTGTTATTAACAATGGTTTCACTCCAATATATTTTCTTTCTTAAATTTTTTTTCTGAGGCCGGCCCGTGGCTCACTTGGTAGAGTGCTGTGCTGATAACACCAAGGCCACGGGTTCGGATCCTGTATAGGGATGGCCGGTTTGCTCACTGGGTGAGCGTGGTGCTGACAACACCAAGCCAAGGGTTGAGATCCCCTTACCGGTCATCTTTAAAAAAAAAAAAAAAAAAAAAAAATTTTTTTTTCTGGTGGCTGGCCAATATGGGGATCCAAACCCTTGACTTCTTTCTTACAATTTGGAAAACCTAAAGAAGCAGAAAACCTTTGAGACTAATATTATAACACCTGTGCATCCAGCTCCTTGGATGAACAAATGATAACATTTTGTTAGTTTTTGTTTCAGATTTTGGTTTTTTTAAAATAGCTTTATTGAGATACAATTGACTCCCATACAATTCACCCATTAAAAGTGTTCAATTCAGGGCCGGTCTGTGGCTCACTTGGGAGAGTGTGGTGCTGATAATACCAAGGCCACAGGTTCAGATTCCTATATAGGGATGGCCGGTTAGCTCAGTTGGGGGAGTGTGGTGCTGACAACACCAAGCCATGGGTTAAGATCCCCTTACTGGTCATCATTAAAAAAAAAAAAAAAGTGTTCAGTGATTTCTAGTATTCAGTTCAGTGATTTCTAGTATATTCACAGAATTGTGCAACCATCACCACAGCCGATCTTAGGACATTATCATCATCCCCAGAAGCAACCTTCTTCCCTTTAGCTGTCACCCCCATTCCCCCAGTATATCTAAAGTGTTTTCATTTCAACATGTAATCAGTACAAAAAGAATATCAGTGAAATATATTTTCCTTTCCTTTTTTTTTTGTGCCAAGGCTGAAATCCATTGTGTATTGCCCAGTAAAGGTGCCTTGTTTCAGAATGGCTTGTTCACGTACTCAGTGGACACACGTGGCCTGATGCTTCTGTCTGGGAGGGCGTGGGTATAGGGCAGAGTGGATTTGGCTGGTGGAACATCTCAATAGTTCATTTTTTTGTCTTTCTTTCTTTTTTTTTTTTCCTTTTTGTCTTTTTCGTGTCCGGTAATGGGATTGCAACCCTCGGTGTCGCGCCCGTACTGCGACCGGCAACAGGATCGCAATCCTCGCTGTCGCACCTGCACCGCACTCAACCAGTGAGCGGATCGGTCTCTATATGGGATCCAAACCCTCAGCGGGAGCGCTGCTGCGCTCCCAAGCGCCGCACTCTACTGAGTGCGCCACTGGGCTGGCCCTGTCTTTCTTTTTTAATCCAACTTTTTATTTTATAAACTTCAGAACTTCAGAAAAGTCTCAAGAATAGTGTGGGTAGCACCCACGTGGTCTCCCCCTAGATTCACTCACCAGGGTTAACTTTTCGCCATTATTGTTTTCCTTCTCTTTATTTATCTAACTCCTTTTTTCCCCCTTTTTTAAAAGAATTATTTATTTATTTATTTTTGTGGCTGGCCGTCACGGGGTCCCAACCCTTGCCCTTGGTGTTACAACACTGCACTCTAACCAACTGAGCTAACCTAAAAAAAAGGCCATCACTTTTTCCTCTTTAAACAGAACAATTTGAGGGGCTGGCTGGTTAGCTCAGCTGGTTAGAGTGCAGCTTTATGACGCCAGGGTCACGGGTTTGGATTCCCATATCTGCCAGATGCCAAAAAATAAATAAAATAAAATAAATGTAACCATTCGAGAGAAAGTTGCAGACATCTCCACCCTTCACCCCAAAATATGTCAGCATGAGTCTCCTAGGGACAGCAACATGCGCCAGCAACCCCAGCACATAAATCATCACCCTTGGGAGATTCAGCACTGGTAGAATACCATTGTCTGATATGTTTTCTGGAGTGTGGAGCTGCCTTTGGTATTTGTTAACTGATCCAGTACCTAATCTGGGATCATGTGTTGCATTCAGTTGTCATGTTTCTTGATTTTCCTTTAATCTGAAACTATTTCTTTGCCTCCTTTCTGTTCTTCACGATTTGACATTTTTGGACAGTTCAGGCCAGTTTTGTTTTGTTTTGTTTTGTTTTGTTGTGGCAGCTGGCCAAAGGCCATTTGTTTTGAAGAATGTCCTCAACCTGGATTTCTCTGTTCCTTGTGACTAGATTCAGATAAAACATTTTTTTGGTAGTAGTACTATATGTGTTATGCTGTATTTTCTTTGCATGTATTTTTTAAACCTTTTTAGAAATTGTGACTGTAATACAGAGAAAAGTGCATGTAACACCAGGGTGAGGTAGTACAGATGACTCTGAAGTGAACGCTTGGGTTGTCACCAGATCAACTTGGCCAGCATCCCAGCACATCTCTTCCCTCTGCCTGGAAGTTACTGCCATACCAACTTACTTAAAACTTGCTTTAAAAAAATGTACAGTATACAAACAGTGAAATGTGCTAATCATAAGTGTAGAGCTTGGTCAGTTTTCATCTGTGTACCCAGCACCTGTCCCCAGATGGCCCTTCCCTTTCTCCCACGAGATCACTCCTGCTGTGACTCGGGTAGGAACCTCTTCTTTATTTTGCTCATAGTTCTGTCATCTAATTTGTGTTTTCTTTTTTCCTAAATTGTTGGAGTCATATCTTATGTGGAATTTTGTTTCCTGTCTGCACGAGTGTTATGTTTATGTTTCCTAATTTAGTGTTTTGTTGGGCTTTGAAGTCATTTGTAATATTTTATTTTATAAGTTGTGCTACACTCACCCCACTGGTATATAGAAAATTGGTATATATAAAAGCAGAATTCCTTTGTGAAAAGATGTAACACTTAGATAGTCATTCTGTTTCAGAGGACCAACATGTAAAGTGTGTGCTGAGGAGTAAGGCCCAGCTGGACCCACTTTCCCTCTGCCCCTTCTGCTTTCTTTACAGGGCGTGTCTGCAGCTGGCCAGGTAGTGTCCCTGAAGGTGTGGATGATTGATGACATTTTAGAAAAGATCAACAGCCACCTTCCGTCTCACATTCGGATTTTGGGTAAGGCTTGCAATGCAGGCAGCTGCACACCTGGTTGTAGATTGTCTTGCAGAGTGCATGAAGCTACGCATGCCCCTGCCTTCTTTTACTGAATATCTCTGGTGCAGAAGTGGAATAAGAATGGTGGTAGTATGGTTGTAAATCTCCAAGAGTTCAGTATTCCACCTCCTTCAGAGAAAGGAACAGCTAAGGTGGACAGAATTAGAAGGCCCCTCGGTTGCAGTGCCTTATTGCTTTGGGTGCCTTGTTTTAAGAAAACAGTGGGGATGAACATTTGAATTCATGGTTAAAACAGGGGCCATTTTACCGTTTTATAACAGGACTGATACAATGGGTGTTTAAGCTCTTTTTTAAGAAAAAATTAAATCTATCTTTGCCTTTTAAGCAGCATGCACAGGCCACTTACATTTAATAGAATTATTGGGATGGCTGGGTGTAAATCTGCCATCCTATGTGTTTTCTATCTGTCATATCTTTTCTTTGTTCCCATTTTTGTTTCTTCTTTCTTTTGGATTAATCGATATTCCTTATAATTCCATTTAATTATAACCCTTTGTTGTAACTTTTTGTGTTTTTTTTAGTAATTGCTGTGGGGTTCAAATGAAGGGTTGATAAACTTTTTCTGTGAAGGGTCAGATAGTAAATGTTTTAGGTTTTGCCGGCCATATAGATTACTGTCTCTGATGCTTTTTTTTTTTTCTTTAAACCACCCTTTCAATCCTATATCACTGTCTGTACAAAAACAGTCCCTGGTTTGAAGCATACTCTAACTTACTGCAGTCCCCCTTCCTGTGGGATCACAGTGCTTCACAAGTAGTCTAGGAACTTGACCAGTGTCCTGCTCACGTTCTTCCCTCTCGGCCTCCGTGCTGTTGTTGATATGTATTCTACTTCTTCATATGTAATAAGTCCCACAGTATGTGGCTGTTTTTTCTTTAAGCAGCCAGTATGGTTTAATTTTTAAATGCTTTTTTATTGAAGTACAATTGTCATACAATCAGCTGTGCATATTTAAGTGTATAATTAGGTAGTTTTGAAGTATGTGTGCACCTGTGAAACCATCACCACCACCACCCCCAGGGGGCTGTAACCCCTCCCTCTGTCCCACCCCACCTGCTTTCTCCCCAGGTAACCACTGATCTGCTTTCTGTCACTAGAGATTAGTTTATGTGTTTAGAGTTTGATGTAAATGGAATCTATAATACGTACACTTTTTTTGTCTGGCTTCTTTTACTCAGTCTGATTATTTTAAGATGCACCGCTGTTGTTGCATATATCAGTCATCTGCCTCTTTTTATTGCTCGTGGTATAACATTACACAGATATACCACAAAATGTTCGTCCATATACCTGCTGATGGACATTGGGTAGTTTCCAGTTTTGGGCTTTTACAAATAAAGCAGCTATAATTATTTGCATGCAAATCATAAATAGGATTCAGTGACCCTTATTGATAGCCACAATTAAGTTTATTTTTAATATAGGTTTATTTTTATTATACTATGGTCTTTCTCTGCCTTGTGAGGAAAATTCCCTACTGAAAAACTCCTCATAGAGTAGATCCTCTGAAAATCACTTTCAATGCCTCTTACCACTCATTTCCATGGAAAATACCTTAATGAATCCCACAGATTAATCCGCAGTTATGCTAAAAGAATTACCAATGGTAGCATTCCCTGTAAAACATGGGGAGGCCAGGCAGTGGCCTTCCTTCATGTCCTGGCAGTGGGGCCTCATGCCAGCACTTGTCAGTCTTCTCGTAGCAGTTAGGTCCTGAACAACTAAAATTATGTTCACAAAGCATCCTTGTGGTATTCAGTGTTTGTGAAATTGGATCTTTAAACATAAGACAAAAATCCAAGAATAAAGTCACACAGAAACAGGGCTGTGGAGACAGAACAGGGAGCACAGGGCAGAAGCTCATGGATCCGCCTGAACCAGCACCGGGACTGGGGACAGGCTGCTTCGAAGCACTGGCTGCTTGTCAGATTGGGCGGCCCCCGTTGCTCCTCGTAAATGTGAAACCAAAGTCGGGCGTTAAATCCAGCTCCTTTGAGATGGGACCCTAGTAACTGGGTGGACCTACCTGTCTAGTCATGACTGAAGCCCCCACAGGAGATGCGTAGCTCAGGGGGGTGTCCAGAGACAGGAGAAGGCATCTCTGTCCACAGCCCGAGCTTGTCACTGGTTCTTACTCTCCCAGGGATTTTCTGTGCCAACACAGATGTACACAGCAGATGGGACTGCATAGAGGTCTTCATTTTGCCTTTTTCATTTGATTTTTTACTTAGTGTTCAACAGGTATTTACTGAGCAGTTCCTAGGGCCAGTAGTGTTCAAGGCACTGCAGCATCTCAGAGGAGGCCGGGCCTCAGTGCCTGAGATTTATTCCTGATCTTCCGGGGCTGCATCCTATTTATCCTGTGAATATTCTGGAATTTATTTAATCAGTCTTCTATTGTTGGACTTTTAAGGTTGCTTCCAATTTTTTTTTTTCTGTTAAAAACAGTGCTGCCAGTGTGGCCTTATGTGTAAAATTCTAACAAACGAGTTCTGTGTCACAGCTGCACTTTTCAGACATCTTGCCGTTTAATCCATGGGGAAAGGCTGCTCTGGCTCACGCTCGGCGAAGTGTGTGAGGGTTTACTTCCCCACACCTCTGCCAACAGACGTACATTTTTGTTGTTTGGATCTGTGTTCAATTCTGAGATTAAGCTTCATGCGGGTTTAGAACTTAATGCAGAGCCCAGTCCTTGCTAGAGCCTTGCATGTGTTCCGGGTGAGGGGACTCCGGTCCTCAGTATGCTTAGGACACCCCGTGGCCTTTCTCCTTTGCCTCCTCTCCCCCAGGACTGAAGAGGGTCACGGGTGGGTTTAACTCCAAGAACAAGTGTGATGCGAGGACCTACTTCTACATGCTGCCCACCTTTGCCTTTGCCCACAAGGACCGGGATGTGCAGGACGAGACCTACCGCCTGAGTACTGAGACCCTGCAGCAGGTCAACAGGCTCCTGGCCTGCTACAAGGGCACCCACAACTTCCACAACTTCACCTCACAGAAGGGGCCGTGGGAGCCCAGCGCCAGGCGATACATCCTGGAGATGTACTGCGAGGAGCCCTTTGTGCGAGAGGGCCTGGAGTTTGCTGTGATCAAGGTGAAGGGCCAAAGCTTCATGATGCACCAGATAAGGAAGATGGTGGGCTTGGTGGTGGCCATAGTCAAGGGCTACGCCCCTGAGAGTGTGCTGGAGCGCAGCTGGGGGGAGGAGAAGGTGGACATACCCAAGGCACCAGGGCTTGGCCTCGTCCTGGAGAGAGTGCACTTCGAGAAGTATAACCAGCGCTTTGGCAATGATGGGCTGCACGAGCCACTGGACTGGGCACAGGAGGAGGGGAAGGTGGCGGCCTTCAAGGAGCAGTATATCTACCCCACCATCATCAGCACCGAACGGGACGAGCGGTCCATGGCCCAGTGGCTGAGCACCCTGCCTGTCCATGACTTCAGCGCCACTGCCCTCGTGGCAGCCGGCATAGGAGCCAAGGTAGGGCTGGGTCACGGCAGTGCTGGCCCAGAGGCATGCCCATGTGGAGGCTGGGCTGCGTGCTTGTCATTGCTCCCACTGCTCAGAGGAGCAAGCTGAGGCACAGAGAGGTGCATCACTTCCCCTGAGGTCACTCAGCAGCAGGACGTACAGGGCCAGGCAGTGGCTCAGGCAGTCAGCACCCTCAAGACGTGCCTTGCTGCTCACCTGTTTTGCCTCTTGCTCACTTTCCCCCCACAGTGCTTTGTGACCCCGGTGCATGGTGAGGCTGCTGGGCACGTGGGGTTGTGCCAATGCTGCTTACCGGCCCACATGTCTGTGGCTGACCTGCTGCAGATGCAAAGCTGGTCCTCGCTCCTCTTACAGCACTGTCTGTCCTGCTGGTGCTTCCCATCCTGGAAGGTGTTTGGGTGCAGGGTATGCCTTCTGCTTAGCATGAGCACTTGTGCCATGCCAGGGGTGCCCCTGCCCCCCTCTGAGGCCAAATGCCCTTTAGAACAAGAATATACATGATATGAAGAGCTGGAGCTAAAAGCAGTCTGAAGTTGAAGTACTACTTTAGTTCTTAGTTCTTTGCTCTGGGGTGAGCGATGTCCCCAAAGCCCCTATTTTGTTGTGGTGGTCCATCAGGTTTTCTTTTCTTTCTTTTTGTTTTTTTGGTGGCTGACTGGCATGGGAATCCGAATCCTTGACCTTGGTGTTACAACACTGTGCCAGTGGGTTTTCAAAGGCTGAAATTCCCACTTGGAGCTCGGGAGATTTCTTCCCACTGTCTAGATACTCACAAAAATGTGTCCTGCTTACACACTGGGATTACAAACTCTTGTGCATACAGGACCCAGGGAAGTAGTGTAAGCTAGTGAAGTGGGCCAGGTGTAAGAAAAGCAGCCATGAAGGGCTGGCTGGTTAGCTCCCTGGGTTGGAGCGTGGTGTTATAACACAAAGGTCAAGGGTTCAGAGCCCTGTACTGGTCAGTCTTCAAAAAAAAAAAAGTCATGCAGATCAGGTGGTAAGTGGCAACCAGTGTTGGGGGGCAACAGAGAGTGGTGGAAACTGTGGTGACTGGGAGGCCTCTTATGCCATCTATAGGGGTTGTCACAGCCCAGTGCCAGCCAGTGGTGGCTACAATGGAACATGGCCCCATGGTTGGCAGAGCTTAAATTTTGTCAAGAGAAACTGGCATTCCATAATTCTACGTGATTTTTCCAAGCACTGCGTAAGCTAAAGAAAGCACATGTGCCGATCTTTCTTGGGGCCAGACTGACCTCTGCTTGAGTCGCACTTGACAGAGGCCTTTGACCACTTGCTGTCTTTAGATACTGCTGGAGTGTCTACACCTGTCAAGTTTTCGAATAGCCCACTTTTATGTCCTTCTGTGGTCATTGCAGCCTGCGGTGATTTGAAGGAGTCCATCAAATACTGGCCCCAGCCCTGAGCTTTCCCTGTGCAAATTCTTGAAACCTATTCAGAGAGTGACTGAGAACAGATGTTCACCTGTGCTCCCAATGAGGGCAGGGTTGGGGGACATGGCAGCTCTGGGCATGCAGGAGCAGATGCCTGAGAGGGGCCCGCTCTCAGGACTCCAGGAGGGGGAGGGAGGCCACTGCGGGGTGGGCAGGGTCCCTTGCAGGCAGGAGCACACTGTCAGCAGGATGATGGCCCACCGTCATTTTCCCATCTTTTCCTCTTCTGCAGGTTCCCAGTCCCTCAGAAGGTAGAGAAGGGGATGGAGACACTGACTAAGGCTGGAGCATCAAGGAGGTGGCCCTCGGCATGGGCAGAGGAGCTGCCACTGCTTTGGGTGGTGAGAGGCTGGGGTCGCTGCTCACCATGGCAGGAGTGCTGGGAGCTCTGGGCCCGCCTGCCAGCTGTGGCCAGTCTCTGTAACCTGAGGGTCTCAAGATCTTGTGTCATTTTGAATTTTCATCCCAGGAATCACCTGCCTCAAATCTATTTTCAGCTCATGTACGTATGTGCACCTTGGCATGTAAAGAATATTTTTTTAAAGAAGTAATTTTCCTATTAAATAAGTATAAATTTTGCTTAGTGAATCCTTTTGCCTTTTTCTTAGTCTTTTGCATTTTCCTTTCATCAGCAGCAGTGAATGGAGCACTGCACCATGCTAGGGTACACATGGTTGACTGGAACAGCCGCGGCCCATGCTCCACAGTGGGGGACATGAGGGATGTGCAGCGGCAGCAGTTGTGGCTGGGGTGGGCTGAGGCTGTGGTGTGGGCGAGGCTGGAGCAGGGGCAGCCTATGGAGCCTTCTAGAAGCCCCGGTGAGAAGTTGGAGTTGTGCAGCTGTCAGGGTAAGAGCTTGGCAAGCAGCAGGAACAGGAGAGAAAGGTGGCCGGCAGGGCTGGGGCAGCCTCCCTGTTGCCAGCGGGCATGGCTCCTGTCCCCACTCGGCCCTCCTGTGCTTGTGGCCAGCACTGTCCACATTCCAGGCGGGGTGGCGAGGGTGGGAGAAAGGGGCAGGTGGGGAATATGCCCGTTTGAGAGCTTTCTCGGGAGACCCACTGGCAGCCTCTTCACCCCGTTGGCCACAGCTGGCTCCATGGGAGGCTGGGACATGCTGCTTATGAAGTGGCAATTGGTGCTGGTCAGACAGAATGGAAGTTCTGTGAGCAAGAGGGGGGCTAGGCGGTGGGCGGGCGGCCAGCGTGGCTGCTGCAGGAGAGCCAGGGGAGGGCTCCAGGTGGGGAAGTAGCATGCCTGTGTGACGTGACGTGATGCCCGTGCCTGTGATATGTCCACACATGCGCGTGTGCACGCTGGGGATGGATGGCTGTCTGTGGTGGCTGTGCCCCATGTGGAGAACCAGGAAGGCCATTCAGGAGATTGCAGTGTGAGGTGGGTGGGAGGCTGTTTGGTGTCTGAGAGCAGTCCAGTGAGGTGTGATGGGTCTGGGCCAGAAAAACAGGAGGATCACTGATGCTGGGGAGGATGGGGGGAGAGGGGATTTTAGTCTGACTGAGCTTTGGGTTTGAGGCATTAATGAGTTGGGCTGTTAACTGAAATGGGGAGATTGGGAAAGGAATGGGTTTGGAGGAGAAATATCAAGAGGTTGGTCTGAAGCATGTTAATTTTACCTGTGACAGGACGTTTAAAATCAATTTACGGGCAGAAAGCCTAACCACTGCGATCTTGGGGTTCTCCTGTGAAAGGCTATGTAGTTTTGGTCTGAGGGTCAAATCAAGCCACCTCCCAATTTTAACTCCAGGTAATTAATGTGTGATCCATTTAAGTCACCTTTGACTATCCCAGGGTATGTGATATTTTAAAATAATACACATACATGGGAAAAAAAAGGTATAATAAGGGAAGTTGCCTCCGGGACCTCTGTCCACAGGGTGCCGCGCTTACCAGTTTCTTGTGGCTTCCATGGCACATCTGACCCTCCTTCTCCTTACAAGGGTGGTAGCTGACAATGCACGTTGACTCCTGCGTTTTCTACTTACTGTATCTTTGTGATTGTGGGTGTCTGCCTTATGCTGGCTGATGGCTCTTGGTGCGGGGCCTCCCTACTGTTCAGCTGCCTGGTGGGCAGGTACCTCCTGTCTTTTGACCATCCCTGTACAATACAGCCTGTTTGCACACGTGAGTATTCGTACAAGTAGAATTGTTGATCTGATGTTTTTCTAAGGGCTACCTAGTTCTGGTAGCTCTTGCCCTCCGTAAAGGCTGTGGCCAAGGGGTGAGGGGTTTAGGTCAAGAAGCCACCACTATCCTTGCTCTGAGTTGATGGCCACCCAACACTGGACCTCCACTGCAGGGAGACCCTGCTTGCTGGCAGCAAGTGCAGTGGAGAGCACCAGAAACGTGGGGGCTGCCTCCCTTCCAGCCTTCAATCTTGCACAGATATATCAAGCCTTGAGCAATCTAAATCTCAGCTGGAACTCTGATTGCAAGGAAGTCTGATAAGTGTGGTTTTTAACTTTTCAACTTCACCAAACATGAGGGTGGGATTAAAGTAAAGAGCCAGTCCACACAAAGACAATTCCATGGGGGAGGAGGGGGAGACAATTCTTTAAAAAATGGTGCTAAAGCAACTGGTTAATTCAGGGTGGATCACAAACCTAAGCAGAAAAGCTAAAACTATTTTTTTTTTTAAATTTTATTTTGTCGATATACAATGTGGTTGATTATTGTGGCCCATTACCGAAACCTCCCTCCCCCCTTCCTCTCCCTCCTCCCACCTTCCTCTCCCCCCTCCCACCCAACAATGTCCTTTCTGTTTGCTTGTCGTATCAACTTCAAGGAATTGTAGTTGTTATGTCTTCTTCCCCCCCAGTTTGAAAAGCTAAAACTATAAAGCTGCGAAGATCAAACACAGAATATCTTCACCACCTGAAGTAGGCAAAGATTTCTTCAGATGTAAAAAGCACTAAATGTCAAAGAAAAACATGATAAATTGCTTTTCACCAAAATTAAAACCTCTCATTGAAACAACTAGTCCAAAGAATTCATAAAATCCATCATTTCACTTAAACTAAGTAGTCCGTGTATGGGAATTAAGTAGGGACTCATAAGTTGGGAATCTGCAGTCATATTTTTGTTCATTCAAACTACCCGACTGGAACTGCCCATCCTGGTTGTGATGCTTGGTATTGCCTGTTATGAGAGTGCTTCAGAAAGTTCATGGACAGATTCGTCTTTTTGGTCTACTTTTCCATGAACTTCTGGAGTTCCCCTGTATTGTGTCTGATGCTGCTGCACTGCTGGCTGATGGCTCTGCTTTCTTCTCCTTTGGCTACTTCATCCTGGCCTCCAGCTCAGAGTCCACAGTCCAACCCTTCAGGGACTCTGGGCCTCCTTGGTGTGGCAAAGCCCCTCATGTTGCTTCATACAACTGCCTCCTTGCACACTTGCTCCTGAACTGTGAGGTAAAACCCTTGAATAGCCTCATGGTCCCCAATGCCGAGCAGTCCCCTGGGGTCCCCTAGATTGATGCATGCTTCAGATCATCTCACAGTGACCTGCTGTCCTTTTCCTCTCAGCAGATGGCTCCCAGTGAAATGGAGCCTGCACTCCTGTCCTGTCCCCCTTCCTGCTGCCGTGGTGACCTCCCTCTCCAGGGCCAGTGCCCTCAACCTCCAGCATCACTCTCCTGCCTGCCCAGATCCTTTGCTTTGTTTGCCTTTTCTTGTAACTTCAGCATCTCTCTACTGCTTCCTTCTCATCAGCTCTTAAAAATGTGAAATCGCTCTCTTCTTTTATCCAACTAATTTTATCCCCTTCCAACTGTCCCTCTCTCCTACCTTTCATAGCTAAGTTTTTCTTCCTCTTTATTTTTTTGGTGGCTGGCCAGCATGGGAATCTGAACCCTTGACCTTGGTGTTACACCATACTCTAACCAATTGAGCTTACTGGGCAGTCTTTTCTTCCTCTTTAAAACGTTCAGTGTGTTAAAGGTCAGTGAGGGCTTTTGTGCTTGCATTGATCACTTCATCTCACAGCCTCTGTTTTTAAAAAATCAACTAATTTTATTCAGATATAATTTGTCATGCTATGAAACTCATCCTTTTAAGGTGTACAATTCAGTAGCTTTTAGTAAATTCACGAAGGTGTCCAACCATAGGCACTATCTAATTTCACATTTTCCTCAACTCCAGAAGGAAACCCCACATCCATTTGTCGTCAATCTCTATCCCCTCTCCCCAGCCCCTGGCAACCAGTAATCAACTTTCCATTTATGGATTTACCTATTCTGTATATTTCATTTATATGGAATCATAAAATATGTGGCCTTTTGTGTCTGGCTTCCTTCACTTAGCATAATGTTTTCAAGGTTCCCCTATGTTGTAGCATGTATCAGTGCTTCATTCCTCCCACCCCCCGACCTGGGCCTTTTTTTTTTGGTGAATACTATTCCATTTTATGGCTATACCACATTTTGTTTATCCATTCATCACTTAATGGATATTTGCATTGTTTCCACTTTCTGGCTATTATAAATAATGCTAAGAACATTTTGTGTATTTTTGTGTGTTTATGTGTGTACATGTTTTTCAAACTTGTGAATTTTTGTGTTTTTTGAGCTAATGATTAAAATTAATTTTGCAGAGCCAGATACTTTTAAATGTCTTACACTTATTAAATAGTTTAATATTCATAACAACCCTATCAGTTAGGATTAATATCTTTTCTTATAATAACAGATGAGGATACTAAAATTTGGGTGGTATAGTAACTAGTCTAGTGTTAAGTAATTTGGCAGAGTGAGGATTAGAACAAATCTAAGTATTAGGGATGATGGTCTGGCCTAGTAAAATCTATATTCAATGTTCCTGTAACTTAAATTGTTGAAATACTCTTTAAGGGCAAGGCTGTATCTTCTTGTTTTTGAAGGTACAATAACAACATATGATTAATTTCATTTTTTATATTTACTCCCCCAAATATTTATTTTCTGGGACTATTTATGACTTTGATAACTATTGCAATATAATTTTACGTGTAGAATTCTTACTGCTTAAGTTTATTCATATTAACAGATTATTTTTTTATTCCATGTGGGAACTGCACAAAAGTTCATATTGCAAACCAACAGAACATTTTTAATGGAGACTGATAATTCCTACTAGAAATTGCACAGAACTGTAAGAATAATTACCTTAAAGCACTTGTTTCCAAAGTCATTTTTTTTTTTTTTTTTTTTAAAGATGACCGGTAAGGGGATCTTAACCCTTGACTTGGTGCTGTCAGCACCACGCTCACCCAGTGAGCCAACCGGCCATCCCTATATAGGATCCGAACCCATGGCCTTGGTGTTATCAGCACCGCACTCTGCCGAGTGAGCCACGGGCCGGCCCCTCCAAAGTCATTTTTTAATTGTCATCATTTTCAAGTGTGATCAGCCTGTCATCCACATTTAAAACTATTGAGATATCATTGTGAAATGAAGCAAAAGCAATTAATCAAAATAGAAAAAGAACTAGATCTGTTCTCAGCCTCAAAACTTCTTTTTTGTTTCCTCTTCAAGGTGAAAACCTCCCTGTTTGCTGCTGGCAGTAGATGTAGTGGCTTTTTAATAGTTTTGGAGGCTG